AACTCTAATACTTTGGCCACATGGTGTGAATAGCTGACTCACTGGAACAGACTCTGAAGCGGGGAAAGATTGAAGGCAAGAGGAGAAGGGGATGACAGAAGATGAGATGGTTGGATGGCATCACTGACTCAATAGACATGAGTTTGGGTAAATTCGTGGAGTTGGTGATGGACAGGGAGGCCTGGCGTGCTGCAGTCCATGGGGTCGCAAAGAGTTGGACACGACTAAGCGACTGAACTGAATAATACAATTAGGCTGTCAATGATGCTCTCAATTTGCTCAAACCTCACTCGAAAATATTTCATTGTAAGACTTAAATAAACTCTTCCCTCTTCATTCATATTACTATCCAAAAGAAATATTTCCTTCTGAAACATTTCTGTAGTTTTCTTTCTAGCAGGAGGTGAGTTCCCCCTTTTCCAAACTCCCTTGCATGAGGGGCATCTTATTTTCTCAGTTAAACTGCAGGTACCTGGAAGGCTTCCCTGGTGGCTCAGATGATAAAGAATCCACCTGCAATGAGGGAGACCTGGGTTCGATCCCTGGGTTGGGAAGATCCCCTGGAGAAGGGAAAGGACACCCACTCCAGTATTCTTGCCTGGAGGATCCCATGGACAGAGGAGCCTGGTGGGCTACAGGCCATAGGATCTCAAAGAGTCAGACATGACTGAGCAAGTAGGCACACACATACCTGGCCAGCAGGTCTCACTGGCTGAATCCTGCATCCGCATCCTCCCCTTTCTCACCAAGCAGAGTCCCTACTATGATACCCTGCAGACAGCACAAGCTAAATGCTTGCAAATGAATCCATGAGGGAGTGAATGGGTGAATGCAAGCTTGAATGGTTCTGGTTTTTATTTCCCCCTGTCTTACGGCAGATTCCAAAGGCCAGTTATTTGCTACAAACTTTATGTTCACCTTTCAACACATTAGGGCTTCCCTTGTGGCTCAGCTGGTTAAGAATCTGCCTGCAATTTGGGAGACCTGGGTTCAATCCCTGGGTTCAGGAAGATCCCCCAGAGAAGAGAAAGGCTTCCCACTCCACTATTCTAGCCTAGAGAATTCCATGTAGTCCATGGGGTCACAAAGAGTCAGACACGACTGAGCGACTTTCACTTCAACACATTAAGGTTGATATTCCAAGTAGTCATCTCATGATGATTCTTGCCAACAAAGTTGATTTAAGCAGAGAGTAATCTAGAAAGTTTACACACACTCTTTCAATGAAGTCCACTTGGAAAATATTAGTCAGGCATTCACCTGCTCTTTGAGAGCTTATCATTTCATTGATCTGCATCTATAGCCGTCAGGACTTTGGCAGACTTGGCGAAAAAATACCATTAACTGCCCATATTAAAAATTAATTACATAAGATCTCCTTTGCTTCATTTTTACTACTTAAACTCCCAACTGATATGGAAAACGTGCAGCTGGGTTTTGTTTATTTTTCATAGCATGGGGTCTTTTTCCTCATGATGCAAAAACACGGAGTTATTGCATTTGCTAGGGCAGAAAATGCCTAGCCTTTAAAATAGTATAATGACTGCTTCCCACCAATACAAAGTGGAAGTAGGGGAAATTCTCTGGGTCATGTTTTCCAGGAGAATGGCAAATTACCATGGCTGTTACCGAACCTGGCAAATTACCAAGCTTCTGCAACTTCCTTTAAAGGGGGAGGAGCGCTTGCAAAGATCTGGCACCAAGATATCCAAGCAATTCTCTCTCTGTATCTGCTTATTAGGGAGCTGAAGTGTTCATTAAAGTCACCCAGGCAGGTGGTCCAGACACTCCGGACTGGAGTGAACTCACACCAAGGAGCACACCATCTCTTTCTTGAAAATCCTCCGTGTCTCCTTCTTAATAGCTTAACCCATTTTCTCTTCGGAAAAGTAAGCGCATTAGCTCAGGGCCTGCCCTCAGGAGGAGGAAAGAACTCCTACCGAACGCCCAACTTTACCACTGGCTGGTAACAAACTGCTCACAAAGAGGGATCACTTCTTTCTTATTCCTACAGAACAGCCTTCTCGCCCACCTCATCCAGTCGCACTGAAATTTAGAGTTGGCTCCAGTTTCGCAAATCATTTAGTACAAACCCCACATCGTACCCGCTAGAAAAAGGGGGCTCAGAAAAATCTACTGATGTGTCCTGCACATGTGTCCTGCTCCTCCTACGAGGAGCCAAGTGCCGCGCAGAACACAGTTGCTCCGACCAGGAACCCAGGGCTCTTTCTCCCCTTTTCTGGGGCCCAATACTCTCCAGGGAGTCAGGAGCTGTTGGCGAGTGTCAGGTATGGAGTCAGGCGAGGAGGAGTCAGGTCCTCAGGCCCTGGCTATTCTAAGTGTGGTCCATGGACCAAGAGCATCTGCACCACCTGGGAGCGTGTTACAGATGGGTCCCAGGCCCCACCCCAGACGTTCTGACTCACACTCAGCATCTGAGCAGTATCTGTGGGAGACTCACAGGAGAGACGCCCAAATTTGAGAGGTGCTGCTGCAGAGCAGGGGGAAAAAAAAAGCAGACGCCTTCACATTAGGATCAAGTTCATTTCTGATCTGCTGACTTCATGCCAAGTCCCGTGTGAGCAGTACCTGTGGCAGAATTACACGGAGGGGCAGTCCTGTGTCCTGACCGAAGTGGACTTGTCCCCTTCACACATCGAGACCAACGCAATGGCCTAAGGATCAGAAACCCTGGAGCCCAGCGAATGCCTTAGGTAACCAGGAAGGCACAAGATAAGCTGCTCTTATTTTGTCTCTTTTCTGAAATTCTGATACGGACAAAAGGTAGAGCATTGAAATTACCACCTCACCTAAAAATCAAAGATGCCCCCTTCCGCTTTTTTCATGAAAAGGTCGGCCACAGGAATCCTGGGTCGGGGAAGCAGCAGGCGCCTCACGTCAGGGCTAAGAGCCTGGCAGGGTGCTGGCTGCCGTCTCTGCCTCCTTGATAGCTAGCTACCTCCAGGCCTGCGCCTCAGCTTCCGCATATGCAAACTGTACCTGTCTCACTGGTAGCTGAGAACAGGTACTACTGTGAGGATGCTCGGATGCTCACAAAGCTGGCACAGAGTGAGCGCCCAATGAACGTGACCTACTGTTAGCACGCACGCCTGTGTGTCAGAGGGCCTTAAAACCACTAGGGCTCCCAGAACAATTCCATCTTGTGACCGACCAGATATCGACCCACGGCCGTTCAACACGAAGCAAGCAACACGCAAAAAGAGCAGACGCTGAGACACATTTCGCTCTGCAGAAACCACGGTAATTCTGGGCAGGAGCAGAGGCGGACGCCCCCTTTCACTTCAAATTCTAACACACACTGACACGGGGCTTGATCAGCTGTGAAAAGCTGAAGAACTCTGCTGGCCAGGAAAGAGGGGTGGGTCTCTGTCACACAGCCTCTGGTCCCCCAGCTGGCCCTCCTGAGATCACCAGCCAAAAGTCTGCTCAGCAGGCGAAGCAAGAGAGAAAGACAGACAGCTGTCCTACTGTCTCTTTTTTAAAAACGCAGCACAAGCTGTCACTGCCCGCCTAATAACTGGCCAAAAGTCAGATCCGATCTCCTTTGCCAAGCCTTCCATTTTTACTTTCACAAAAGCAGCAGAAATACAATGCGTTTTCGAGCTCATCTTCACTGTTTTGATTTATTCATTTTAAACTGGAGTAGAGTTGATTTACAATGTTGTATCAGTGTCAAGCCTACAGCAAAGTTTTACGTATACACGTATATATAAATTCTCTGTATATTCTTTCTCAGATTTCTTCCTTTATAAGTAATTATAAAATCTTGAGTAAAGTTCCCTGTGCTATACAGTAGGTCCTTGGTGGCTGTCAATTTATATGTGAAAGTGAATGTGCTAGTCGCTCAGTCGTGTCTGACTCTTTGTGACCCCGTGGACTGTAGCCCACCGGGCTCCTCTATCCATGGAATTCTCCAGGCGAGAAGTCTGGAGTGGGTTGCCATGCCCGACCGAGGGATCAAACCCAGGCTCCTGCATTGCAGGCAGATTCCTTACTGTTACAGCGACGCAGGAAGCCACATTTTATTCACAGAAGTATGTACATGTTAACCCCAAACCCCTAACTTATCCCTTCGTGCCCCTTCATTATTTTTTTAAAAGCATTTAAAATTCATACAGCTCCTTTTGAAAAAAAAAATCTCTACCTCTCCATTTCCTAATTAGACCCAATAAAAGTATAAGAGTGAGCATTACTGGACAAGCCATATTGAAAAACATCAGTCCAAGTCTTGAAAATCGAAATCAAGACCAAATCAATCACAGCATTTAATTCAAGTGAATTTTGTGTTTCCTCCCAAGGGACTGATAGAATGTACTGACAGAATTGTTCAAGTATTTTTAGAGTTTGGGGGAAGATATAAAATTTGCATACAGCCTTTAACCAAAATTAGTGTGTTCTCCAGCCATGCTTTTCAGATTAACAGTATTATACTTTTACTAGCTGCTTCGTTTTAGGAGCACACGTCCTCAAGGAGACACTTTTCTAGCTGAGTGTAATCCAGTCAATTAAAAGAAGAAAAGGCTGTAAAATGAATTATCTACTTATGTCTCCTGGTGTGGACAGCTGCAGGACACTATGACACTCTTCAGTTGTCTAATGTCTGGTCTTAACTCGTCAGAGGGCAGAGGCCCTGGAAACAGAGGTAAACTCCAAACAGACACGTGTGGGGCTTAGTCACTCAGTTGTGTCTGACTCTTTGCAACCCCATGGACTGTAGCCCACCAGGCTTCTCCGTCCATGGGATTCTCCAGGCAAGAATACTGGAGTGGGCTGCCATGCCCTCCTCCAGGGGATCTTCCTGATCCAGGCATTGACCTGGGTTTCCCGCATTGCAGGCGGATTCTTTCTGTCTCAGGCACCAGGGCAGCCGCCCAAACACACACGCCCCCACCCTAACCCTTTCTCATCCCTTCCTCCATCCAACGCACTCCCAAGCACCTGGTGATGCTGTGGCGAGCACCCTCCCTCAGGGGGCTTACCTGTCGGTCTTCTTGATCAAGATGGCCCTGAAGATGTGCTCGAGGGGCGTCTTCTCCCTCTCGGGGGTCGGCTGCACGAAGGGGTGCAGGGCCGCTAGCGAGAAGCCCTGCTGGTACAGCTCCAGCAGCTGGGCGGGCAGGTCGAGGAGGGAGGCCAGCCTCACGGCGGAGGCCCTCGGGAGCTCAGCTGCAGGAGAGAGGAGGGGAGGCCCATCAGAGACCCACCGACCCGGCCACCCCGCGCCACTCAGCCCAGCAGAACATCTCCAGGTCACCTCCCACTCAAGAGCCTGTCCCCTTCTCAACTACCATCTTCAGGGAAACCTACAAACAGCTGGTTAATTTCAAACTCATCCATAGGCACTGACGACTGGATAGTTTCAATCTAGAGCCTCACTCCTTGGAAGAAAAGCTATGACCAACCTAGACAGCATATTAAAAAGCAGAGACATTTCTTTGCCAACAAAGGTCCGTCTAGTCAAGACTATGGCTTTTCCAGTGGTCGTGTGTGGATGTGAGAGTTGGACTGTGAGGAAAGCTGAGTTCCGAAGAATTGGTGCTTTTGACCTGTGCTGCTGGAGAAGACTCTTAAGAGTCCCTTGGACTGCAAGGAGATCCAACCAGTCCATCCTAAAGGAGATCAGTCCTGAATATTCATTGGAAGGACTGATGTTGAAGCTGAAACTCCCATACTTTGGCCACCTGATGCAAAGAGCTGACTCACTGGAAAAGACCCTGATGCTGGGAAACATTGAAGGTGGGAGGAGAAGGGGACGACAGAGGATGAGATGGTTGGATGGCATCACCGACTCAGTGGGCATGAGTTTGAGTAAATTCCAGGAGTTGGTGATGGAGAGGGAGGCCTGGCGTGCTGCAGTCCATGGGGTTGCAAAGAGTCGGACACGACTGAGTGACTGAACTGAACTGAATCTAGAGCCAAACTTCCCAGAGATCACACTGGAAAAGTCACTTCCACCCCCTCAAAACATAAGAAAGAAGGAAAAGAAGGAGGCGGAGGATCAGAGGACGATGACAGCTGCACACAAATATAAAACTGCTGTGGAGCAAAAAGCAGGAGCAAAACAAAGTCCAAAGACAAACTGGAACATTGATAAGCCACTTAATATAAAGGGGTTATTCCCTTAATTTGAAAAACAAACAATAAAAAAAGAAAAAAATGGGCAAAGTATACGAACAGGTAATTGTCTAAAAAGCATAAAAGGGTAATCACTCTTTGAAAGGACACTCAAATTAACTCAAGATTAGAGTTCTGCATATCAAAATAAATGTTTTTCACCTACTGAATGATTTTAAAATCTTTTTGAGAAGGGCAGACAACATTCAAAAGTTAACAGATTCAAGTGAAAAATGTACATCCCTGCCCAATCTCCATGTCTTAGATTTTTTTTTTCTCTAGAGGCAATCAATACTATCCATTTTTTGGTATACATGTTAACAATCGCTAAATTTGTACACAAGTAAATAAGTTTACGTATCTCATTTTTTTACACAAATGGTAGAATAATGTTTACAATCCAACTTTTTATCCACTTTTACCAACTGTGCTAGTCGCTCAGTCCTGCCTGACTCTTTGCGACCCCATGGACTGTAGCCCGCCAGGCTCCTCTGTCCATGGGATTCTCCAGGAAAGAAGACTGGAGTGGGCTGCCATGCCCTCCTCCAGGGGATCTTCCCGACCCAGGGATCAGAACTGCATCTCAGAACTGCATCTCTTACGTCTCCTGCTTTGGCAGGTGGGTCCCTGACCATTAGTGCCACCTGGGAAGCCCATTTCTTTCCCCAGGCCCTGGCTATTGTCACAGTGAAAAAATGATTCCTAGAAGGTGGTAATTTACATTTCTCTTGTTATGCAATTTGTAATTTTTTCATATTAAACATTTCACGTTTAAATGCTATTTATGTTGTCTTTTCTGTTAATTCACAATTTTTGCCTAGTTGTCAACTGGGTTATTGATCTATTGGTTTGTAATTCTTAATATATTAGGAAATCCAGTTCTTATCTGTGATAACAGGTGCAAATACCTCTCAGTTCGTTTGTCTTTTGACTTTGCATAACATGAGTTTTGCCATGAAGAATTTTTTTTAATGAAGTTGAATTTGTCAATCTTGCCTTCAGGAGCTTCTAAGTTTTAGGTCATAGAACAAACCTGTATTATAAAACAATTCTCTGCTGAATTCCTACAGTAATATTTCATTTCTTACATGTGAATCTTTGCTCCATTAGGAATTTGTGAAATATGAATTCAACATTTCCCATCCACTCCCAGTTTATCCGTTTTTTCCTGATTTGAGATGTTGTCTTTATCATATATTATATTCCTAAGTATATTTAAGTCTATACCTGTGATCCATTAATCTATTCTAATAATTTTTATATTATGTTTTATATAAATATTATACATGTTTTAAAATTTTTATATTATGTTTTAAACTCTGGTCACATTATTTTCTGAATTTTCCTATCTTCCTGTTTGTTTTCTGAATCTTTCTGTTTATTTGTTTTTCCAAGTGGTCTTTAAAATAAGCTCATCAAATTACCCCTCAAAAAAAATCTTGCTGCTATTTTTATCAGATCATGTTCAAATTACAGCTGAGAGAGAATGGATTTTCTTCTTTTTATTCATTTTTAATTGAAAAACAGTTAATTTACAACATTTTGTTAGTTTCAGGTGTATAGAAAAGTGATTCAGTTGTACATATCTCTATATATCTGTTCTTTTTCAAATTCTGTCTCATTACAGGTTATTACATGATCCTGAATACAGTTCCCCGTGCCGCACAGTAGGTCCCTGTTGATGTATTTTACATATAGCAGTTTGATATATTAATCTCAAATTCCTAACCTATCACTCTCCCCTCAGACTATTTGATTTTCTTTTTAATCCATAGGAATTGGAAATTGAAGCCAACCAATATTTTACAGAAAGTTAACAATGTCAACATGCCGAGAATGGATATTTTTATCATGCTACAAGTTTCCATCCAAGAACATGGCATGACTTTCATTTATTCAAGACTTTTTGGGGGTCCCTCAGATGCATATTACAGTTTTTTTCACATAGATACCACACACTTACGAAGTCTCTTCTAGTTATTTTATATTTTATTGCTATTTGAATAGATTTTTTCCTCCTTTTCATTCTGTGATATTCATCGTGGGCAAGGATGTTGGGGAAACAGTCTCGCTCATCGTGGCCGACAGGGGAGAACCTGTGTGGAGGGTCGTGTGGTGTCTGCCTTCAATCTTAAAAGTGAATTCACCCTTCATCCAACAACCTCACCACTGGGTATTATGCCTATGGTGGACACATAAATGTGTCTCGAGAAACATGGGCAAACATGCTCACCACAGGATTACTGCAAAAACTAAGAGTCAAAGCACTCTTCATTGTAGGGAGAGCTCAACACTGGGGACACCCCAGTGATGAATCCTATGAGCCGTTAAGAGGATTACATGCTAATGAAAATGTGTCCGAGATCCACAACTAAGTTAGGAGACAAGGGGTCTAGCAGTATTTATCATAGGATACTAACATATAAAAAAAATGAGAGAATAGATAGAGATGAATAAAAATCTCTTTTTCTGGAAGAAATCACAAAACCATCAATACTGGAGAGACTGGAGTAGGGAGGGGAGGATGGAAAGGTAGATTTTACTTTATTTTGTACTTTCAACACTATTACCGTCCACAGCAATCGTTTGGGTGGAGGGCTTAGGAGACATTTTAATTTTCTTCTTTATGCACAAAAATATTATTTAAAATTTTTATGTATTTTAAAAAATAACGTGTTACTTTAAAAAACAAACTAAAGATGAAATCTAAGGCTGCTTAAGAATGCACTTAAAGTCAGACACTACTGTTCTCATTCCACACATCACACACGAAATTTATAGGAAAAGAAAATCTATAGCAATGGTTTGCTAAGTCACTTCAGTCGTGTCCGACTCTGTGTGACCCCATCCCTGGGATTCTCCAGGCAAGAACACGGGATTGGGTTGCCACTTCTCCAATGCATAAAAGTGAAAAGTGAAAGTGAAGTCGCCCAGTCGTGTCCGACTCTTAGCGACCCCATGGACTGCAGCCCACCAGGCTCCTCCGTCCATGGGATTTTCCAGGCAAGGATACTGGAGTGGGCTGCCATTTCCTCCTCCAAAGGGATCTTCTCAACCCAGGAACTCAATCGGGGTCTCCTACAGGCAGATTCTTCACCTTCTGAGCCACCTTTCTGGAGGGTAATTTTATTATATCCATCAAACCTAAAAATACCATACAGCAAGGAGACCACCCTCCTCTTTGAAGAAACTGTACATAAAGAGTATCTGTGAGTCATCAAAGATGAGACCCTAACCTCAGTCTCTACAGGTTGGTATTTGGTAAATGTTTCAAGTATCTCAGACTCTTTCTGCAATGATAAAGTAAGCCTGAACCAAAATGTTGATAATTTGTATGTGTCTCCTCTTACACATCATCCTATAATTAAAAAATAAATAAATAAGAGCAGTCGATGCACTTAGAAGCCTTGGGATTCTAGGATCAGCTACGCTCCTCACTGGCCTCAACCCCAGACGTGTGAATGGTCAGTTTCTGCTTATAAAACGGAGATTACTTCTATCACAGAATCAATGTAAGAATCACATGGGATGATGCACATGTAATTGGTGAAGCTCAAGACAGCCGAGCCCAGTGGTGCGGGGAGCGATGAACAGACAGCTGGCCACGGGGCCCGGTTGGCTGCAGACGTTGAGGACGGTTCAGCCCTGGGACCCCGAACCTCCCCAACACCCCCACACCCCTTCACCTCCACCCTCCAAACCAGGGCACTAAAAGTATTAGACAATCAACCACTTTACAGCTAAATGCTTCCTGAATAAAACATAACACCTTTTAAATTTTTATCTCCAAATCTAAAGATGCATCTCCTGTCAAAATTCAGGGATTTTATGGTTTTAATTTTTGGTATGCATGCTGTCAAAGTAAGTTGATCTTCATGGTTAAAAAACTAATAAAAATGAATCTAAACCATCTTATAGCAATAAAAAAAGGCCCCTATTGTAAATAGGATTAAACGCCTTAATTCCGTGTTTCTTTTTGAACCTTAACCTTAAAAAAAAAAAAAAAAAGCCCTGTTCCTATAAAGTGACCAATTCCCCAATATTATTACTGG